TAAGGTAAACAAATGAAAATATTGCTCCATGTCTTGTGAAGATAAACCTCTTAAAATACCCCGTTATTTTCCAGTTCCAGTGCTGGGAAGGCAGTTGAAGTGCTCAGAGTTTACAGCTAAGTGCATTGACCCGGCAGTTTCGCAGCGCTCGGGGCGACGGTGGAGCTGGGATCCACAGTCTTTGGGCACGTTCTGCTTGAGCAGATGGCTTGCATTTAAACTTAATGGAGCTCAGGCAATTTCACCTCGCTGCCTGTCCAGATGAGGGAGATATCACAAATAGACAAACCTCAGGACCGATAGAGCCTTCATCCTCCGCGTGCTGGAGATTGCTCTATTTCAAATAGGAACGATGGGGACGTTTCCTGCTGGTGAGGAGCAATTCCCAATGATCACTGCTGCAGTTTGCAGAAAAACGTCTTCAGTTTTCACAGACAGAACGTACCAAACCATTCTGCCAATTTATGCTCCTCTTTGTCAAATTTGTCATTTATTTCTCTCCGCTGGCAGAACACAGACAGTGCTGCCAGCACAGCGCGTCTGCAATGGCGATCCCTTCATCTTCAGGCCTGGCTGGATGACTTCTCCTTGGGAAAGGTGCAGAGGCAGGAGCTGAGCATCCACGTTCCCCTCCCCTATCAGCCTCAATGCTGCACTCTAAGGCTTTCCTTCAGCAGGGCAATGAAAGCTTCCAGAAAGCGACAAGCGCTGCCATAAGGGTTGGTTACTCGGCTTGAGTAAATGCTCAGCATAATTCAGGATTTCTCTGTTCCTGACAGATTAGATAATGTGGTCAGTGAATTTGAAAAGAATAAATGCAGAACTCATTTGCATCAGTGCTTTCAATTTGCTCAGAATGTTTTCTCATTTAATTATTAGCCCACGGTAAACTAGTTATCAATTAATTGCTAGAAAATTGAAGTATGTATGTGTGTGTTATTGCTTAGATCTCTAATTGGCTGTACCGTTGCTTTCTTGTTAAATGCTAATTAAAGTTTCAAAAAGGCCAAACATTAGTTAACTTTAAATGGTTTAACAAGATACACTAATGTATAAACACATTTATATTGCACATTACTTTTATGCCAGGTTATGGTAAGCCTGCAATAAAGATTGCAGACATTTCCCCCCATATTAATACAATGTTCTATAGATAGGTCTTAACTAAATGAACAAGATCTCTTCCTTCCTTCCATTAATTTGTCAAATATCTATTTGATACTGAAGATAACGTGCATGAGTCAAGGCAGACCAGCCTGCAAAGTCTTTTCTAGTGCCAGTAATTCTGGTTGCAGCTCACCCAAGGTTTCCTGGAAGACAATGAAGGCTCACAGTAGCAGCCAATGCTCTAACCAAGGGGCTCAGCCCACAAACAGCGTGGCCCTGCCCTTCCTTCTCTGCTATTCTGCTTCATCTCCAGGAAACAAAGCTCCATCTGCCACCATGCTCTGCTCACGCTCAGCTGTTCTGGGCTCTGCATACCAAGTGAATTGCAGAAGACCTTTTCCATCACTGTTTGCAACTATTTCTCTTTCCTGCTTCATGAAATCATAGAATGGCTTGGGTCAGAAGAGACCTTAAGGATCATCTGCCTCAAAGCTTTCTTGTTTTAAGAACCACGAAAAGCAGCTGAGCAGTGCTTCCCTGCTTGGACATGCCAGCTGCAGAGCATGAAGCCCTGCTTACCAGGTGGCAGACTTTGCCCATTATTCCCTCCTCTCAGAGGAATGGGGATTTTTGCAGGTGGTTATCATCTCACCTTATCTTTATCAGCAGCCATTTGGATGGAAGAACATCGCTGAAGGCTTCCACAGATGTTCTAAACCAAAGGAGTGACTGAAAAATATTCTCAAAAGGCAAAATATCAAACTATGTATTAATGCTGAGTTTGTGAAACTCATTAGAAATTAAAGCTGTAGGCAAGAAGGCAGCTGTAACAACCCCAAATCTTATTGTTAGGATGGCATTTGAGACTTCAGATCGAGTTCAGTTCCTGGAACTGGAAACGTGACACATTAACCTCAGCTTCTCCCTTATGCATTGCACTCAGGTACAGGAAACAAAACCCCAGAAGGGCACCATCGTCATCTCAGAGCAATTCCTTACAAAAGAGGGGTAGAGTTTGTGTAAAAAACATGAGATGCAAATGCAAGCAGTTGGTAGCAGTCACAAGTACAAACACTGCAACTTCTAATTCTCCTAATTTGAAAGTAATCATTTCATTATAAATCCAGATCTCAGTGAAAAAACACCAGCATTCATTTTTCAGTTGGAGTACATCTGTAATCTTCATATTTAATTAGACACCAGATAAAACAGGCAAACGCTCATTCATTTGGATCCTGTAGATCAAACAGGGAATGCTTGACAAAGGGGAATGCTGGAATAGCAGGAGGCTTCATCTCTACTCAGTGCTTTTTGGCAGGTGTTTCAAAGATTTAATCCACAAATGTCAGCCCTGGTTCTAAGTGTCCTCGGCACTTACCATCATTAAGAGAGGAGATTGAGATTTCATCCAAGTGATATCCAGCAGTAAAGCTCAGGCAAAGCTGCTAAGCACTTCTGGAAATGAGACAGTAATGAGGAATGCTAAGGATGGGATTTCTGAAGGTGTTTCAGTTATTAGAAGTGTGGAAGTCCCATGGATGCCCAGTGGAATGTCATCTCCCAGGATGGCTGGAGATCCCACTCCAGACTTCAGGCAGAGAAGAGATGCTGGGACTGCCGCTGAGTGGAATCATGTGTGGCCTTCCAGCACCTTCAGGGCCTTTCTGGAATTCCAACTCCTGGATGGACAAACTTAAAAATGTTAGAAATAGATGCAGGCAGGTTCATTAACCTATCCACAGGAGACTCAGCAGGCACAGATCACACAGATGATGCTCCTGATCCCCGTGCTCCAGGGCTGAGCGGCTGCCCAGAGCTCTTGTCCAGACTGCCCAGGTGTGCTGAGGACAGGACCCACATTCCAGTTTCCCTGCCTAACAAAGAGGATTTTCATGGTTCATTTAGAAAGCCAGTCCCCAAGGCTAAATTTTCTAAGAGTTCAGACACACACACGAGTAAGTTATTATGCAAGAACAACTCCTCATAAAGCAGCTGGGTTTCCGTGCTTATGCAGAAGTGCAGCCTGGAGCTAATTGCAAGGTAACTCTGGTGAATTTAGAACCCCTTTTGTTGTGCTAATACAGGGTAACAAATTAAAACTTAAATTATCTGCACATCTAAGATGGAAGAAGCCACAGAGAATAAAAAGAGGCAGAGAAGCAAACTGTTGAGCGAAGTGGTAAAGCTTTCTGGTGCTAATTGATTTCCTAATTCCAGCTGACTTCCATGGCAGCTTGGCACTTCTGCTTGCACCTCCAGCTGCATATGGATCTTTAAGGACCCGGTTCAGAAGGAATCCTTGGAGCAAACACCACAGCAGGCTACGTGCAGAACGGCTGTTCAATAAAAATAAAGTGTTGTGCAAGATCACATCCTCCTGGTGAGACCGAGCACCTCTGCTAAATGTGACCTGGCAGCACAGACACCTCCATGGGGAGAAGGCGTCTCTGGAATCTTGTTTTAATGAGCTGGTGGGACTTGGAGAAGAGTCGTTTGTTTATACAATCAGTTTACTCATTTATGCCTAAGTTAATTACATTAATTGCAGAAAGGAAATATACGCTTTTAAAGATGCACCCAGCTGTTCTTTGACCCAAGAGCAGCTCCTGCACAGCACCTACAGTTCCAACAGTGTGAGCCAAGCAGGGGCACCTGCTGGGAGAAAACTGATGGGAAAGCACTGCATAAAACAAGAAGGGTTAAGATAAATAAATAAATGATAAATAAAAAGCCTGAAGAAAGAGCTGCCACCCAGGAATATTGCATTGAGCTCGAGAAAAGACTGCATCTGATCAAAAGCTTATAACACCAAGGCCTGCACTAGAAATTTAATAAGTCAGAGCTCTGTTTCTCTTATTTGTGTACACACTGGCACACATTTTACTGGAACAGATGGATTGATGGTCTGAATACATGTCTTCTGAGAGACAAAGAGAAGTCTCCTGGCAGCCAGGTTAATTAGAAAAGAAACTTTGCTGAAGATGCTCAGTGGTAATCAACCGTCACATAGAATGCAGTCAACCATCGCTCACGTGAAACAAAAACCTTCTGAACTCTTCCCACGGACGCTAAATAAGGATCAAAGCCCCGGGGGAATACCTTTACTGAGGCTGCACCGACGGTGGAAGCGCAGAGCTCAGCCCCAGAGCTGCTCCTCCTGCAGGGAAGCACCGGGCGCATCCACGCGCCCACCGTGTGGGGACAGCATGGAAGTGCAGCCTGGAGCTGCTTCAGAGGGCAGCTGTGAGACAGGAGTGGCAAACACGCGGTGGATGTTTTGGTATGCCAAAGCAGAAAAACAAACACTGGGTGCTACAATAGATATCCCACGTAGCCAGAAGGCAGGTGTGCAGCAGCTTCTCCAAGGGAGGATGGTTGAGAGCTCAAAGTTTCCTGAAATACATGATAACATCTGAGTAATGCTTACATGGATACAATTCCGAATCTAAAAGCCCAGCCTCCCTCCGCACACTGAGATGAGGTTCCCAGTTTGCACCCGCATTCTCTTTGGCCACCATCACCCCAAGACAAGACAAACCCAGCTGTGAAAGCAGCACAAGGTGGTCGCTGATGTTGTTGTGCTAACATATATATTTTCCAGATAAAAACAAGTTCCTGAGAATAACGAGGGATTTTTCCCCTTGCTGAGAAGTGAAACACAGCAATCACACTGCATCACAGCGTAACTATAAAGCACGTAGATCTGTTTGTGCCTTAAAAGCTCGCAGAAGCACCATGTAGAACAGCCACAGGGCAGCACAGAGTACATTCACATCACGTTCCAATATACAGGCTTAATTTAAATCAACAAAACCGAGTACGATTTCATCTAGTCTATGTATAAAGATTCAAAGTGAGCGGGTGGCACCCTCCAATGAAAAAAAATGTATTAAAAAAAAGCCACCAAAAACAAAACAAAGCCACAACATTGCCACATGCTCCACCCAACAGCTCTACATTGGAGCAGGGATGCTGCTCCCAGCCCGCCCTCCAGAAAATCCATTTCCCGTGTGTGCACAGATCCTCTCCTGCAGCCACTTAACTGGGCAGTTATCGAGTGATTTGCAGCTCAAATCCCGCACCGTGGCTTCATTATGCAGTAAACGTCACAGCCGCAGAAGGCAAATACTCTTCCTGTTCTGAAAAGCAAAAAAAAACAAAACAGGAAAGTTCAGATGACAGCCAGGAGAAAAGTAAGCCTGAGGAAATACAGGGCTGTGCTGGCTGGGATACCTGAGCCCGCAGTGATTTTGGGACAGCACTTCGGGCAGGCTGGGGTGCCTGCTGCAAGCCAGGATTTACCAAGCTGCTGATCGTTAGCAAAGGAATGCTTTTATCCTGCATCCCCTCCTCAAATACTACTCAGTAGGTCGGCTTGCTTGCTTTCTCTCTTGACTTCCAGTTCTTCTCCTTGTGCGGATTCCAGAAGAGATTCCTGATACATGCCAGGGTGAGAGCTGAAGTACAGCTGTCCGTATATGAAATACATGACTGATTCCTGGGTGCACTCAGTAACACAGCCCCACAGCGACTGCAGCACAATTGTCTTCATTGCTTACGTGTGCTTTAGTAATGGGAATATAATTGTTACTGCTTGTAAGACATATAGCCTCATTACAGCCAGCCCTGTTGGCATACTTTAGCCTCAGCCTGTATATTCTACTTCACCTCTCATTGAAATAGATGAACTTTTCCTTCTGTTTTCATCTCTCCAGGAGTAACTCCTGCCTCTGCCCATTGCTGCAGCTCATCATGGAAGGCACAACAGCCTCAACTCCCTAGTATTGAATTCACCAGTCGTGAAACACAACCAGAAAGAAAAAGATTCAAGGACACACTGCAGTTATCCGTGGTGTTGCTGACACTGGGAATAAGGGCACGAAGGGAGAAGGCACTCAGTGGGCAAATGCTGCCTGGAGTCTGCCAGTGGTCCCCAACATGGGTGGGTGGCACCTGAGCCCACCAGGCTCTTCCTGGCCTATGGATGCACGTGCTTTCTTTTAAACATCAATTATACTGATGATTTTTAAAGGTATATTCTTATTAATTTTGAAAGCTGGAGCAGCTTTTGGAAGAAGCTGTGAAAGTTCAGTGAGTGAATCCATTTCGATACAAAGATCATTTCTTGCTAGTCAGACTGAATCACCCTGAACTGCTGCTGCCTGCCATCTCAATCCCACCATCCCACTTCAGCCTTCAACTTCTCTATTTAAAACAGAATGTTAAGAAGTTAAAGAACAACAGAAGAACTCTTCAGGGCACTCTTGTTGAAAAATGCCTGTGCACGTTCAAACATCGGATACTCACCGAGCTGCCAGCAATCACTGCACCTTCCCCATGGAGATTTCATAGGTAGAAATCATTCAGCTTCAGGTAGTGTAACTTCATTTTTATAAATCATAAAACTTCTCGAATTCTGCCTCAAGTGAAGGCAAGCCATAAACAAAATGGCATTTTAATGAGTCATTAAAACAAAATGACAAATTCTCCTAAAATTAAACTTATTGTGCATAAAATGCCAAGCTAAGAATATTTACCAATGAAGGAAAAAACCTGAGAAAGTGCAGGAATTCGAAGATGATTCTTATCCATGACAGAATTCCCCACCCACCTCACCAGCAAGAAGCCACTGCAAGCAGGATCTCAAGGCGACCAGAATGACCCCAAGTGTTCCAAGACAAACGATGGATAACGGTGACCACTGATGTTAGTCAGAATTATGCTCTTCTTCATCATGAATAATCCAACACTTCTGACTAATATCCCTATTAATGGAGTAAATATTGAGTATCATTTTTTCCTATGACTCCTGATGTGGATGCACTGCAAAAACAAATAACCAAAAGAACAGGTTTATGACAGATGTGAGATAACTCAATATTTCTTTTAGTATTTAGACTAAATTCGCATGGTGTAATAACATTTACCCTGCAACTGTACATAAAATGAAGTACTCAGGTAATGTATATTCTGTTGGAAATAAAAAAAAAATTGAATTATGGTATTTTTAATACAAAAACTCATTTTCATGTGCATTTCTGCACATCTCGAACAGATTGAACCTTAGGTGGTTAGATCTAATTCATTAGCTACATTATTCATTGATATTGCAGAATAATCTTCCTGTTAGGCTGGCTGCCTTCTTGCAGCACTCCTTGAGGTACTTTGAAATCCAATTTTCCTGTTGAATATAAATCAGTCAACGTTGAGTTGGCCAACAGTGCACTAAATGGAAAATGTGAAGCTCCTCTTGTGCTGTAAGGCATCAGCCTGCAGTGAGGGCTGCCCACTGGGATGGGCTCTGTTTCTCCAGCATCCCAATGAGCTCTCATACGTAGTGCCACACTTTTCCTGGATGTTCTTCTCACTTTCTCAAAAGAACAAAAATCCTTATGAAGAGATGTTCCCAGGCTTTCCCAAGGGCAGATCCTGAGCACAACGGGCTGCCTGGGGGGTGGTGGGTCCTGGGAGGTGTTCCAGAGCCATGGGGACGTGGCATGGAGGGACGCAGGCAGTGGGCACTGTGGGGGTGGTTTGGGGATCTCAGAGGTCTTTCCCAACAATATTTTCAATAACAATTCTATGATTTTATAACTGTGAGAAAGGACTTGCCCAAAGCCATGGAGGAAAACTACTCAGAGACCTGTCCTCTCTATATGGGGCTGCCCTCCACGGCTCATTCTCCTGGCACAGAGGCAGTAGGGCCACAGGGGTTCCCACAAACAAACCATTGCAGTGAAGCCAGGCCTGAGCAAGGAGCTGAGCCTCCCTGCTGCGCATGGACAACCCGCCAGGTCTCTGTGAGAGGCACAGCATCATTTCATTCCTAACGGTATTTCCAACGAACGAAAACTTTTTAGAGGAAATGCATCCTTGGTACAAAAAAAGAAAAAGTTATTTCATAAGCTATTTCATAAGATCCAGAAGATTAACTTTCCGACACATTATTTCAATGCATATTACTACAATCAAAAGACAATTTTGGTTTTATGACAGTTATGATATTTCTAAGTCAAAAACAAAAATAATTAGGTATGCCATATCACTTTAATTTCCTCCTATTCATCAATCAGATTTCTGCATTTTGCAATACGACTTCCAAACCATTTCAATGTGCTCTGCATCTGTAAACCCTTCAGGACACACACACCTTTGGACACAACGTGATAACAATGCTTGGCATTTCACCCCACATTTTCTTAAGCCTGGAGATGAGCACAGCGTTAGTTTTCACCTTTTCATCACAGATTAATGACAAATGCTCAATGAATCTCTGCTAACAATGATTCTAGAGGGACTCTGAAGGGAATAACATGTTACTCCTGTAAAAATCTTACCTAAATTTAAAATGGCTCTTTAGCCCATGAACTAAAATGTTGTTTCCTCATTTCAGATGCATTCACCCAAAGTCTCAGAAGCTGCTGTCACTTTCAGAAATATCTCCTACTGTTTTGCTGTAATGAATGGATTTAGAATCAAATTTTATCTGAAGTCCTCCCCTCACTCTATAGCCTGAATGGGATGCATCAGTTGGGCTTTGTGTGCTTGGAGAGGAAAAGATGAACCTCCCCATGAGTTACTCAACCCTACATGCATTTGTACTGCATCCTTTATCACGGACCGTAGTTTCTCACTGGAAGTCACTATTAAAGAATAGTCTTAGTATTCTATTCCAAACACTTCTATAAATATTTTAGGACTGAAATATCACCTCTGGCTTACTAGGTTTGGGAAACATCACTGGTAAGTAATTATTGCTCAAATTGTCAGTCCCAGCTCTGCCCTTTGTGTGCACAGCATCTGATCACTGCGGTGGCACTTATTTCAATATCCACATGGAATTTGGAAGAGGCACTTCTGTGCAGAGCTGAGGCTGAAGAACGACAAGATCTCTGTTGTGGAAAAGCTCCTGCATCACATATCTCACTAGAACACCGTGAATGCTGCTGAATGGTATTCCAAGAAGAGCACAGTAGCTTTAGAGAGGTTATGAAATACTGAATAGAGATTGCATTCCCCTAAATAAGCAGCATGAGGATAGGTGTGTCCTGGAACTGGGGACAGAACACTGTGAGCCTCAGCAGTGCTCCAAAGTGCAGAGAGTGAGAAAAGTATCAGAGTCACAACTGACAAATGAGTCTCTGAAAGACTGGGGAAGGAATAATGAAGGCAGACACTGAACCACAAATCTGTTATCACCACACACAGCATTTCAAGGCAATCAGCAACAAACTGAAGTTTTTTCCGCCAATCCCCAACTAATAATTGCACATTGCTGCAGCATCTCCCACAAAATATTTCTAACCTGGCACTGCTGCAGTTGAGATGAGAAGACCACACAACTCCTAAGAGGAAAAAGAATCCCAGTTTTGAAACCAGTTTAGAGTAAAGCACATTTCTGCAGCACTTTTCAAAGCAGAGCTGGAGCTGGTGAGCTGTCCTGGGGGCAGTCTAGGAGGGGTACAAGGGTCTGACAGTCAGCTCAGTAAGTCCTTGAGCTGGAGGAGGAAACACCCACTGCTCCCTATGCTGCAACCAGCATAGCGGCCAAAAAATGGCAGTGCTAAGCAGTAATTGCCATCCCTATCTCAGGTCACGCTGCCAAGTGGAATCCAGTTTTATTAAGAGTGCTGATCATGATTTATTTGTGCTTGGGAGAGATTGCAGCTCCTGCCCCACTTGGCATTGTTTGACCACTCTGTATATGCTGATGTTTCAGAAATGATCGATTGGATTTTCAGCAGTGACTCATTAAGGGATCCTTTCACACCGCTATCTCAGAAAGCACTTTTTGAGTCCTTTAATAAAACAAAGAACATGCTTTAGCAGCTTACATCAAGTAAATGCGACTGCAATAAAATGCAAGTTCACCCCCAAGCTTCATATCGTTCAGATGTAAGACAGAACATAAAATATGGAACTTGGTTCAGTTTTTTCACAGGCCAACAGGATCCCCAAAATGGCACTGACAGGAGTGAGCCCTGCAGTCCATTTCACCCTACAGCACGTCAGTCAGGGTTGCTGTCCCTGCTACCTGTCTCCAGGACCAGTGAATCTCACACAGTACTGCAGAGCACACCACTGAACCCCACCAGGAGCTCTCCATAAACAGACCATACCTGTCACACCGCTGCAGAACGCACATGCAGAAGAGATCTTCTAAGGCTAAGGAGCCACTGAACTGAATGCTAGCAGAGATTTATTCATATAACTGCATGTTATGTATTATGGATGCTGAGGTTGCTATACCTTCGAGCAACAGCCAAATCATTGCACTGCTATCTTGACCCAACACGCAATTATTTCTTCTCTTTCACTTTTTCAGTTGATCTCAAAGGAAGCCATCAAGAGTGACATAGCACGTGTGTTCTGCAGCCTAAGTGACAATTCAAATCATGTATTACGTACAATATAAATCCCAAATAGAAAAATAATGCTGGATTTTATAGTAACCATTTACTGAAGATGCAAATGTTATAGTTTTAGATGCAAAAAGCAGTAACTATCGTTTAGAATAAAGCTGTGGGTTTACAGTAATGCATGTGTTTATCTCTCAACCACTTGGGAAAAAAAGCAGTAATAAAAAGGTTTGAATCAGCTCCATCCGAGCATTTAGTAATTATGAGAAGATGAAGATAGAGTAGACACTTTTGTCTGTTAATTAATCACTTAACAGTGTGACAGAAATGGTAACACCTTGAAATGATCCAAAATTTGCTTCAGAAGAAAAGCACATTTGCAGCCACACCAAGGTCTACCCGCCTCCCATCGGGTTGAAGCAGCACTCCTCAGCACATCGGGATTGGGCCACTGCTGGGGTTAGCTGTGGGTTCCTCTTCTTTCAGATCTAACTGTTGGTGGATGATAGCATTAAATGAAGAGAGACACCACAGGTACTTCTAAGAAAGTTAGAGTTTTCATTCTAATCAACTCTTTGTTCACCTTCAAATTAGACATTAGATCATCATCTGTGTGGTAGATCAGAGAGAATTTCAGGTGTGAGATGTTCTATGCAGATCTTAGGGGAGTTAAAGCTCTTCTAACAGAAAGCCAAGCAGCCTTGCTATCTCAGATGTGCCCATGCCTTGTTTAGTGCTAGGAGGAGGGCTGCTGGCATCTCACCTTGCTGATGGATAACTTTCAAGCCAGTGGCAGCTGGTCACATCCTATGGCATCACTACAGCCATTGTGGAGCCTTTTTGGTTCTTATGCCTTAGAGTAAAATATGGATATCGATATGTTTGATGCCTCCAGGGGAGATGAGCACAATCTGGGAAGGAGTCAGGTATTTGGTTGTTTGTCAGAAGCCAGAAGACAATAACTGCATTTAAAATCTAAAATTAAATCTCATTTGACTGTATTCATTCATCTTCCAAGGAAAACATCCATCTTTTTAATGATAATCAGCCGCAATATAAAGCAAAATATAAAGTGAAATAAAGAAGGAGGATAACCCAGCGGGCTCTGACGTGGCAGCTTCAGAGGCAGTGCCAGCACAACTCTGGCTTTGACGAGCTGCTCTCAATTAGAGCCCCTGGGACGAGCAACGTGCACCACATCCATCAGCCCAAAACAAAGCAGTACCTGCACCGTGCACAATGAAAGAATAACTTGTATTATGCCAGAGAATTTAATGAGCTATGACTCCAAATCCCCAGTAGGGAATAACTCTGCTTTATTGTTTATCCTCAGCGCTGCGTGAGCCTCTTTCCTCAGCCCCGCCGCCCGGTGCCACAGCCGTGCAAACCACAAATATTTGCCCTGCACAGGGCTTTGTGTAAGCGAGTTATCAGCGCCTCGATGCACTTGACTTTATGCAATTAAGCTTCCCTTGAATACCTACTTTTTGTAAAAGCTAATTACCATACTTACTGCTACTTGAGATTAGAAGGGGAATGTAGAGAGAAGTTTAACGCTGCTGTATCTCTATCACTGAAACAGCTCCGGAAATAAATTAGCAGCACACAGTTTCTAGCTCATTAAATATAGTCATCGTTTTTGTGCCCACAAATACCTCTATTATTCAGCTTGAAGGATCTCACCATCATTTTCCTGTTATTTGTGCCACAGCAGCGAGCTGTAGGCCAGCCTTGGGCTGCTGTACGAAGAGAACAAAGCGAGAGATGTAACCTTTGCAACAGGACAGGTTATCTCTCTGAAAAGCTGTATTCATGGAGGGTGTTGTTAAATCCCCTTTAGCCCGCACACGTGGATATTTTGCTGCCATAAGTAGCGTTAGTTCAGATGAAAAGCTCCAGCATCATTTGTCCCATTGCCCCCAGGCACTGATCATTCTGGTTTGTAAGTTTTCATTAATTTTCTAAATGTCACCTCAGTCCAGGATACAAAGTTCGCATCTCAGCGGTCCGTTCCATCTTTAGCAGAGAAGCATTTGCAGAGTTCCAAGAGGTCGAGGTGCCCAGAGGAGGGGCACATCGGGACCCTGGAGGAGCCCTACACCCTCAACCCCCCCACCCCGGCCCTCCCTGCCCCATCCCAGCAGCACGGAGCACAAATCCCATTGCTGTCCACTCCACCCGCTTCTCTGTTTGCTCCCCTTTCGCCATGCAAACAGCATTTCAGCTTACAGATCATCTCCGTGGAGAAGAAAATCCAGAGGGTAAAGGTTCTAAGAAATAATTTTATGAGGCACGCGGTAACGAGCTGTAAAAGGGATCTTTCCTTTTTATCTTAATGCGGAGTATTTTTGGAAAAGCATCTATGTTATCAATCGGGGGAGATGCGACTTCTGTGATTTCCCTGAAGAAGGAAGAGCAGGTGCTAATCTAACTATGAATGTGGAGCTAAGCCATGAGAATTCACAGCCATCCGTGGGTTTGCATAGGGCAACTGTGACTATTGGTGAATAACAATGAGAACAACTGCTTTTAAGCAGCACCATGGGTTCAGTGCTGTCTCAGCAGGCAGGAGCCTCACCTATCCTGTAGCACAGCTAATTTGAAGCTATGCGAACGGCATTAAACCATATTTAGTAATTATGCATGAAACAAAATCATAATTGAATTTAGCTTCCAGCAGCGTGCTAAACCTCTGGCACATCAGTTCAAGATTAAATAATGCCAAGTTACTGTTGGCCTTACTTTCATGCAGCATAACTCACACCCACCCCAGCTGCACCTTTGCTGCAGTTCCACCCCAAGGATTGGAGCCTTGGGCTCCGGATTGCCATCCCCATCTCCAGGCACATCGACAACCAGGTGACGCCAGTTTATGACAAGAGAACTGGAGAACTTGAAAAGTTTCAGAACAACATGAGTTATGTTCCTCAGACTTATACAGCACACCAGGAATTTTATAGGCATGTGTCTCAAATGAGCTTGTGGGGGAAAGCCATAAAGACAGCAAGCACAGTTTCACTGACACATCAGATACAAGGGAGAATTAACAAGTCATTGTAAGCTCCACCTATGACACCTATGGAACCATCTCTTCCTCTCTGCAATTACATTTCCAACAGAATCATTCATAAGAAATGCAATTAGTGAATTTGCAACTTGTGCAGGATTTGCCCCTCTCAAACTTATTTATAATTAAAAGGTTTCTGTGTCAAAAGCCAAGAAGCCCTTTGTTCTTTCACAAGGAATTTGATCAGCGATGGCAATAAATCAGTGCAGAGGGTCGATGCAAACACAGGGAGAGAAGGCAATGCTGAGTGTAGGAAGCAGCAGTGAGCTGTAAAACTCAGGCGCTGAGCTGTTTGTCAGGCACACCTCACCTGAAAACAGCAGTTACCATCAAACGCATCTCCCACCTCTCCAGAGCCTGGTGAAAGTCAGAGCCCTCGGCTCACTTCAGAAACAGTTCCCAAGCCTACACCACAAGTTCACATGCAAGAAAGAAACCTGCTGCAGTATTACAGTAGAAGATTTGTCCGCTGTCCTTCTGAGACCACAAATGGAACCAAGGAACCATTGTTGGAGACACCAGAGGTGTGTCCATAAAACCAAGGAGAGGGGGAAAATAACTCAATAACAAAAACCCCACTACTTTACAGACCTTACAACTTAAAAATAGAAATAAAGAAAGCAGCAGGATTCACTTCACAGAGTCTAAGGAGGGGAGCACCGCCATATGTGGCAGAACAGCTCCAAGTGCTCCCCTATCCTTCAACCCACAGGTTTCACTGTGCATTTCATTGGGTAGTAATTAAGCTAAACACAGTCTCCCAGCCCCCTTTCAATGCAGTTTTCCACTGTAACCATGAGAAGAGATGAAATCCAGTCTGCAGGGAGCTGAGCACACTGCACCCTCTCCCCCAGCCCTGTGCTTCTTCAGAGCCACCTCATTTGCTTCAGCAGCTTCACATTCTCCTAACAACTTTTGAAAAAACCTCCAGCAAACCAGCAAGTAAATCAGACAGTGCTTGGAACAACCCACCAGTGCTGGCACAGGGGCGGGCTGGGAGCTGACGCACAGCTGCAGTGAGATGTGCAGTGACTGCACCCACTGCAAGATCTCACTTCGCATGCTCTGCATTCCCAGGTGTCCCCGCCCCTGGAGGTGCCCTGGTCCAGTATTAGATATGGAAGTTGGTGGCCCTGCCTGTGGCAGGGGGGTTGGAGCTTTATGATCCTTGGGGTCCCTTCCAACCCAAGCGATTCTGTGTCAGAGGAAAACCTGTGGGCTGGTTTCATCCATGTGCCATCCACAAATCCCACTGGAACAGCACATCTGGCTGACCACAAGATCTAAGGAGCTGAAGGAAATCCATTTAATAAACATCAGAAGGAGCTGTTATTTGCCAAAGATGTTTGGCATCACATTAACTACTTTGTTAGCCTCTTAAATGATCATTTCAACAGAAAACAAATTTCTCCTTGAAGGCAATCCAGGGGCTGCTGTATGAGTTTGTTTTGATCTGCTTGCAAATACAGAAGCCAGTGAAATTCATAAGAGCTGTGAGAATCTATTGCTGCAGAAAGCCATGTAAATGAGCGCACTCCTGTGCATATATACAGTACTTAAATTATTTTCCTCACCATCTGTGACAATGATTTTACGAAGGCGCATTTTAAGCAGGTACAGATTTATATGGGCTTTCTTGTTAACATTTCAGAGATATTCTCTAAACGCAGAGTTTTCTTTCTCTGGTGACAGCAATGCCACGCTGCTCACACGGGGCTTTGCTCTTAACATTTATCACTTTTCATGTTCCTTGATGTAAATGAGAAAGAGCTGGCAAGGATGATAGAAGGCGGTAACAGGACGATGCCTTCATGTGTGAAGAAGGTCACCATCTGTCCCCAAACAGCTGAAAAAGGTGCAGTGGGCTCAGAAGGTGGAAATCTGCAGTAAGATATTTAATTTAAATCTGGGAGCAGAATGACGGACCAGACTTTGTACATCCTTTAATTCAGGGTGCAGTTTGACTCTATATCTGAAAGAATTTCAAAGACATTTTATCTCCTGGAAAGAAAAAAAAGCTGTAATTGCTTCCATTTGAAGAAAATTAAAAATCATTTGGGGAAGGGGATGAGTCGCATTGCCATCAATCTCAGCAACACTCAAATGGCAGCAGTGAGCCCCATGCGTGCTTCCCAGAGCCCTTCATGAGCAGCAGCCGGGGCCTCCACTGGGTGCAGTTTGTCCTCCCAGCATCAATGGGACCTCCATGCTTCTGAGCTTCTCAAGCAGAAGCTTCTGGAAATCCTTCTGGAAGCCCCAGAGATCTGAATATGGTTTCCCTGATGCCACTGACTGAACTGTATGCATGGCAAAACCACTTCACCTTCATGCATGTGCCTTTCTAGGCACGTCGGGGAGTGAAAGTTTCCTTTTTTCCCCTTACAAATTAAGTCCAGAGGCAACAGTACTCAGTGATCCCTATAAGACCCTTCCAACTCAGGATATTCTGCGATTCCCTCATAGGACACCTGGCCTGTGATCCATAAGATGCTACACTTTCAGAAGTAATGAGAAGTTCTATTGATCTGGCCAAAGAAACGTTTTTCTAATTGAAGCGGTCACTGTTTTTATTAAAAGCGTTTTTGCTGTAGCTGTTTCAACACAACCATTTTTACAGAAAGACACCCAAGGAACGCAGAAACACTTGGCATTGTTGCCCCTGCACCCTCACCTCATGCATCCCATTTATTTGCATGTCTTCCATTGCACCATCAGCACTTTGCATGTGCTCCCACCTCCTCGCACACAGGATGAGCACTGCATTCGCTGAGCGCGTATTCAGTATTTCCAGTATGTCAGAGGCCTTATCTCCTGCCTGCTGACCAAACACTGCTCTGAATGAAGGATTTTTCATTTCCTTCGGGCTCTTCTCTGCTGTTTGTCACTACCTGAGCACTTCATGGTATTAATTATGCTGACAAGTCAAGGCAGCAGCATTATCTCCACTTCACACATAGGGAACTGAGGCAGGGAAGGTAAAGTCAGAACCGAAGTTGGCCAGGAACTTCAGAGGAGCATTTTAGTCCCAGTAAAAACCAAATAAAAAAAAAAACAAAAGCAAGAAAAACAGAAAGCATCACCTCTGAGTAAGAACATGTGAAGAACTGAAAAGAATGCACAGAATCAGAGGGAAGAGCTGGCTGTTCCAGGCATGGGAAATACCACGTTCCTGTTTAGCAAAGAAATGCAATGTGACTAAAGATGATCAGGGGGCTGGAACATCTCCCTGCAAAGACAGGCTGAGGGAGCTGGGCTTGTTCAGCCTGGAGAAAAGGCAGCTGCAGGGTGACCTCATTGCAGCTTTTCAATACCTAAAGGGAGCCTACAGACAGGAGGGGAGTCAACTCTTTGACAGGGTAGATAACTGCAGGACAAGGGGAAATGGCTTGAAGTTGAGGGAGGGGAGACTGAGGTTGGATGTCAGGGAAGTTCTTTACAGAGAGAGCGGTGAGGTGCTGGAACAGCTGCCCAGAGAGGCTGTGATGCCCCGTCCATCCCTGGAGATGTTCAAGGCCAGGTTGGATGGGGCTCTGGGCAGCCTGGGCTGCTGTGAAATGTGGAGCTTGGAGGCCCTGCCTGTGGCAGGGGGTTGGAGCTTCATGATCCTTGAGGTCCTTTGCAACACAAGCCATTCTATGAGTATATGATAAAGGGAGTTTGGGTTGGGTTTGATTTTCCCCCGTGTTTTTTCAGCTGCTCAATGTTAATACAAACTATCTCAGACCGTTACCAGGTATGATTCTGTCCCTTCTTGGCTCAGTGAGCGTACACTCAAAGAGTTCTCAAAACAAATGAATTTCATAGAGGAAAAAAAAAAAAAAAAAAAAAAAAGAAAAAGCACCACCCAAATGATGGGTAAATGTAGGTGGCTACATGTCTGCACAGGCAACAGAGGTATTTCTGGATGCTCTGCTGGCTGCATGCTTTCCTGACAGGGCAGCAGTCCTCCACTTTGTCCAGGTAAGTATCTGGGTCTGATCTTTCGGAAATACAGACTCTAAGGGCAATTTATAGACTTAATTATGACAAAATATAAAGGCAAAAGCCTTTAAGAACGCTCACAGAAAATGATGGTTTAAGAACTCAAATTGCCAAAGCTGTCATAACAATTTTTCCTGTAAATACTTCCATCATTTCATCCTTAACCTTATTCTTTCCCAGCTATAAACCACGATTAAAAAGTAGCAAGTTACTGATTACAAAAATAAGTCTCAACTAAATCCCTTCACAGCCTGTCAAGTGTGCAAATATTTTAACAGCTAATGGCAAATTCCACAGCAATACAAATATATGTATTAATTTCAATCATTCAGGGCAGGGAGGTATGAGTAAGGGCGCTATCATCCGGGGCCGTAATTAATCATCGTGGACATTTCATTGCCAGTGAACATAAATCAAGAAGCAAGAATTCCTCCTATCTGAGTGATATGTAACCAGCATTAACGCAGTGACAAAATCTAATGCTTGTCAGGAGCCGGTACATATTTTATCTACCTTTGACACCTGAGATGCAGAACTGTTTCACATGAGCGCCCTCCATCACTGCATTTATTTTCTGGATGTAGAGCACATCCTTTGGAAGTATTTGCAGAATACAACAGCAAGGCTCAGAAAAGAGGATGCCAAACCTGGGATATAAAGTTTCTGGAAGTAGAAGGGAAAAAAATAATAATCTTATAGGGCAACATGATTCAGACATGATAGATAAATAAGATAGGACAGTTGCAGGACAGTGCAAGGCGATTCCCAAATCGTCAAGCAGTAGCTGAAGTCCATGTGTACCTCTGTTAAACAGTCAATAAGAGAAGCAAGCTGACTTGATGTCCCAAACCTTAAATGCCACAGAATGACAGGGACTGGAAGCTTGGAATCTGAGCCCTGCTGGGGAGGAACACAGCTCTTATCCTCACCCTTCAGCTGTGAGCATTCCTGGAGAGGTCTCTGGCTGGGATCAGACACTCCATCCTGAGGCAGAGAGCTGATTTCTACCAGAAAACCACATACTCTAACTCTTCCTTAAGTCCTTCTGCCTAAGCCCTTGTTTCTGATTAAGGACATCTTCAAGAGGATGGCAAACCATCCATTGGGTTGAAGAGTTGGGAAGATTCGTGCCCCAAAACGCTGGAGGGGCACAGCTCTGCTTGGAGCCACACAGTGGGCATTTGGGTCGCTCTCAGATGGCAGCCCACCTCCTGCCTGCTGCAAGCACAGTCACGTGGGAAAATGGAATGGAAGCTATGCAAACTTCAAAGCTCCTCTCCTTCACAACCTTAGTTAAGGTCCATCTGTTCTTAATATTTGCTCAGAGCTACCACAGCCACACTAGAACACATCTGCTCCAGGTGTTCCATGCACAACCAAGTTCATGAGAGACCTGCATCTGAAGAGGCATAAGCCTCAAAGCTTTTCTGAAACTCGTTCAGAAGCTTAATTACTTGGAAAAAGTCTCTGAAAATGACAGCCAGTGTCATGATTTTTGGGACAGCTCTTTGCCTTGGCAGGCATGGTGGGGATCTGAAGAGGTTGGACTTGATCTTAGAGGTCCTTTCCAACATTAGTGGTTCAGTGATCTCCAGCTAAGACAGCACACTTTATCACCTACTACCACCAATACCATTTTTATCAGCACACAAACAATTCAGGTATTACTCTGACCCACACTGGGAGCTGGACAGGGCGTAATAAGGCTGTTACTTCAGGTAGAACACCAACAGGCAGCCCTATGGGCAGAAGCAGGCATCTCAGTACAAGTCAGAGATGTGAGCTTTCTGAAGGACCGTGCTGAGCACAGCCAAACCTCTCTGCTCTCAACTTGTAAAACACAGCCCTGAGCACTGCTCATCACCTGAGATCAAGAACTGCTTGGGATTGCTGAAGACAGCACTAATCCTTCAGCCTCAGAGCACTGCAGATCTCTCAGCAATTCAGTGCTGCTGATAACAGCTCAGACCGTAAGAGCTCTTCACCCACTGGTTCTCCAACTATTTCTCATTTTTTCATCTGAACTCAAAACTAAATACATTAATCACGATCTCTTGCAGGAAAATATGTATATATGTACTTCATATTTAATCACTCTGTTATATCAACAACATGTAGAGCAGAAAAATATACAAACAGCTGTGTGACTAACAGGAACGTAAGCCCCAAGGTAGAATTTAGCCCATCTGCAGGAACTACAAACCCAGGTCTGAGCTAATCCATTTGCAAAACACTCAGCACACAACATGTGCTCTCAGCTTTCCATGGAAGCACTCTACTCCGAAGCACAATTTACATTTTAATTCGTATTGTACAGAGTCAAATACGAAAAATAAGCATCAAGGTTTTTCTTTGCTGAATTGTTTCTTAATTAGATCTAAGCGTTCAGTCGAACCATTTCAAATTCTCATTGCTTTCTGAAAACAACGAAGAAGAAATCCTTAATTATTCATGGGATCCATTCACTGGAAGTGCCTTGGATTGCTTCTGTTAAGGAAACAGCTGCAGATTGCTGACACCCATCCGCTGGGATGCAGGGGCTGCACAGGAGCACACACAGCTACCAGATGGCTGCAACAAGACCAGGCACAAACACACTGCATTCTGGATGCCACCTCAGTGCACATGAAGCAGGACCCCCATCGGGGCACCCCAACACAGGGATGGAAGAGGCCCACAGCTGCCTTCCATTGCTTCCATCAACCCTGCAGCCATGGGGATCACAGGCTACTCAGGGACAGCAGAGCTGCTCCTCAAGGAGCCAGGCAGTGCTCACAGCCTGGTCTGGTGTTGGTGACCTTGCTCACAACAAGGGGGTTGAAACTAGATGATCTTTGAGGTCTTTTTCAACCCAGGCTATTCTATGATTCCATCATTCCTTGGGGAGCTGCTCCTCATACAAGCCACCAGGACCTTCTTGCAGGGTGGGTTGGGAGCAGGTGTCTGTATTATCCTTTGTCACCACAGTCTGTTGCATACACATCTTGAACAAGTAAATATTTTAAGCAGTACAGAACACCTTTCAATCTCAGGCACTGCCTTGCTTTAGCAAAGGGCAGAGGAGGAACAAAGTTAGGTAACTAACTTCATCACAGCAGATGTAAAAATACAGGTAAGCAATAAGATTTCATTCGGGAGCCACACATCCCCCAACAGCTTCACTTGAAAACTGCTAACATGAACAAAGCAGCACAACTCTAATTCCTTGGTCCCCATCCCAGCAATAGCACTGCAGATGAACATGAACAAAGCGTTGCACTCACCTGGCTCAGGCACAGCTCCAAACTATTGCAAACCAGGCATGCTAAGATCTCCCACACAAATCAGGTTAATTTTTAATTCAGAAAGAACACCCCCCTGCACCTGGCTTTTATATCCTGTTATGTTTCTGGAAGAATTTAAGACCACATAGCTTTAGCCAACCTGCCCTGAGAAGCACAGGCTGCTGTAATCCCATTCCAGCTGATACCAATACACAGAGAAATTTGACTCATCACATCTTGTTACAGTTAAATGTGCTGCTAATTTGTGAGATATTTTGCCTGACCTGTCAAATCAACTGACTTCCATGTTCTTTCTTCTTTTTAGCATAACTAATTCAAAATCATTTATTCCACTTCATTAAAACTAAAAGTTGATCTGAAAAACAGTAGCTGGTGTTAGATGGAGCATCACCTTCCCACCAAAGCAGCCAGTGCCAAATCAGAGTGACATTCATTTCTAAACAGTCATCACCTTCATATGGGAGCATTTTCCAGCTGGTTTGCACACATCCTTTTCTTGTCCTCATTTCTCATCTGGAAATGCCTCTCTGAATTGAATGCTTACACTCAGCCTGGGTCAGATAAAAGTACCCCATTGGGTATGAGCTGGGTATGTGCACGTTCAGCAGTCACCTCTGAAAACCCACAAGGGTTTTTCACCTGTGCAAGGAAAACACAAGGCACTGCTTAGAAAGAACAGGGCCCAGAGGCAGTGAAATGCAGCATATTGGCTCTGGGACATTACATAGCAGCCACTCAGCCTCTGCTCTGCCTCCATGGGAACAGCCAGCTAAGGAGCCTCCAGCTAAAACAAAGCATGAGCTGCACCTGATGTGAGCTGGTTAAGAAGAAATTCCATCAGGCCCACCTGCCTTCATCCTGCAGCCAGGCACTGGGATGAGGGGACAGGGAAAGGATGGAGGCATTGATACTGTACTGTGTGCCATTGCTGTGGGTGAGGGCAGAGCCCCATCCTCAGGATGCACACACAGCAGTAACGAGCAGCTCACTGCCAGCACCACCAAAACGAGCCCACCAGGTTTGCACGGCACCTGGTACTGCTCCAAATTTTCACTGGCGATTTGGTTGAAGGGATAGAGCACACATTAAATTTCCTGTTGGCAGCAATCTAAGAGAGACTACAAATATGCTGAAAGACAAGATCAGAATTCAAAGTGACCTTGCCAAACATCAAAAACAGCCTAAAGGGAAAGAGAAAAAAGAAACATGAAAGGGATAAAATTTAATCAAAACAAGTGCAAAATTCTCCTGTTAGCTTCTTATAAAATAGAAATACAGAATGAGGAGCGTGAGAACAAGGCTAAGTAGCAGTGCTGCTCAGAATGGCCTGGGATCAGAACAGGGCACAAACCAGATAGAAGTTAACAACACTGTGCAATGGGGTTGGAAGGGATCTGTATCTGGGTATCGCTGAACCTCCCCAGGGCAGAGCAGAGGGAAGGAGCACCTCCCTGCCCTGCTGGCCCCATCCTGTGCCATCAGCCTTCTTGGCCACAGGGACACACCAGATGGTCAACCAAGACCTCCATGTCCATCTCTGCAGAACACCTTTCCAGCAGCTCAGCCCCACATGGCACTGATACACACAGTTATTCCTCCCCAGGTGTAGGATTTCACACTTGCCCTTGCTGAACCCCGTAAGGTTCCTCTCCATCCTTAGAGAACTCTGAAGCTGCCACCAGCATTTCTCCTCATTCTGAGTGAATTCCTTCCCCAGACAATATACCAGAATCCATGCAAAAGCTGTCTAAATTTTCTGAATTTCCACCTCCATCTCAAGAGCTGATGGTTAAAACAACTTCTGCCTCTCAGGAAATAAGCTGTGCAGCCACTGTCATTAGCATTAATGCAATCTTGATTACCAAGCCCTGCCCTGTGGGATGCCTGCTGTTTTTCAATATTTCTGTCACATAATGCCCTATCAGGAAATGCGTGCCTTAATAAACACTTACAATGGCAGTTAAGAATAAGAGATCATACTTCTCGTCTCCCTCAGCCTCACAGATGCATTGCCTATAACCTAATGAAGTTTCTAAAAATCAGGCGATGCGGTTAGAGATCCTGTCTGGGAGAACTCTCTGGAGAAATGATAAATCATGCCTCTAATGTCCTCATTTGTCTGCAAAAAGTGATGATGCCATTAGTTGGGACAGTTCGATCCCAGAAGTCAAAGCTGCGATAGAAGTCTGAAACTTTTTTGGTGATGAAACTCTGTGCTATTTAACAGTAATGCTGATAGAACCAAGTTTAACCTCAGGAGAGGAATGATTAATAAAGAAGTGATACGCTGTGTTTTTTCCAAATTTGCCAAATCATTTCTTACTGCCCTAATCCCTATGTCAGAAAAATAAAATAAATATAGAACTGCTATCCAATTAAGGCTCTGCTAGGAAGGGAAAGCCTTTCAGATCGAATTTCCTGCATGCATAGGTAGATGAAACGTGTGCCCCGAGGCAGATGAGCAGCTGGACCCCAGCTTGTTTGAGCAGCTTTGTTAACTCACGCTGGTGACACGATGCTCCTCAATCTCTGTTGGCATTACCATGAAAAGAGACGGGGAAAAAAGTCATCCTAGTCACTCTGGTGCATGGCAAGGCCAGCTCTGTGAGCAGCACTGCCTTGCACAACCTGCCTGCTCCACCCATGGCCCTGCAGCCCCACTTCCATCTGCAGCGCACGGCCGCGCTTCCATCTGAAGGTGCAACAAACCCGTTTCCTGCTGTACTCATCATGACCCACGGTGTGCATCTTCCCTGTTAGCAATAAAAGAAATTTGCTTCAGCCGGGCCTCCAAATTATACAGGAATCATGTTTATAACAGTTTCTATTATTTGCATGCTTCTATTAGAGGAATATCGCCGATGAAGAACGCCGTGTTCCTTCACAATTCCGCTTTCAGAGAAGCAAACTTTGAAGGCAATCTCCGAAATATGTAATTTACAAAATTACTGTAATTGATGTGGCTGTTCTATTGAGAGGTGTAGAAGTTCGGGAGCTTCCGATAGAAAGAATTTCTGTTTTAAAAACTCTGTCCTCGTGTGGCTGGGGGTGCAGCTGGTGGCTGTCCGGCACCACCAAGCATGCGCAGGGCCGAGCTGTGCTGCTGGTTGAGCTTGTCATCTTCTCATTTGACAAGCAAATAGATTCAATAATTGGCATTAAATACCAATTAGACTGAGCCTTTGTGCAGTCCCAACCCTTCTGGAGGAGGCAGGTTTTACTTGCTGTGGAGTTAAGTGTTACGCTTCAGCTCCCTGAGAGCACACAGCTGCTGCAACCGGGGAGAGATCCTGTGCTCAGGTGATGCACGTTATTTCTCTTACTGAGGATGCTCAATTCTCTTTCCACCTTACAAAGACCACACAGACCTCACACGCTGCTACACCACTCTCAAACAATTAGTACTTAACCCCTTTTCCTGTATGCTGTGAGAGAAGCAGCCAGCATGATGATAAAGGCTGGCAGAGACGTGTGGCTGTGAAGCACCACAGACAATGCTGTCTGGTGGAAGGCAGTTGCACCTTGAGAACCTCAGTGAGCTGCCGTGCTTCTGCTCTCTGTGTCGTCCTACAGACTGCTCAGAAACCTCTGCTGTTTGCAATGGCTGTTGTGCATTGACTTGGATAAAATAATTGGCACTATAATTTTATACCTGTCAAAAATCCAATATACACCACTGACTAATTGCTATTTTCTGTGCTCATAAAGGTATAAAATCAATTTAAGTGCTCTGCAAACCAACAAATTCTTCGGTGAGGCTGTGAATGGTAAACAGCGTTGTGTTCACTACTGCCAGCCTTCAGTCTGGGGGGGTAAATTGCTACATCATACCTCATCTTATAACAATTTTGAGACCAATCTGGCAAAGTACTCTAACTGCCTTTGTACCAGCGAGACCCTTGAAACCTGTGTGTGTGAGCTAGGGCTGTATGTCCCATGGCTCACATGGAGCAGCTCCCTCCATCTCAGCAGAGGACAGATGTGGTGTGGGCAATGGCGTTCTCTCTTCTTCCTGTGCTCTGCAGCATCCCTCCACCACTCCCACCACAACAAGGAACAGAGCTGCTCAGAAAACATCTTCCATTAATGGCACTTCTAGCAGAGCCCGGAATGAGGTGAGTGAAGCTTGAAGTGCTACCATCAAATTTCATGTCTGAGTATTTCAAAAAACAATGCATCCCTTCTAATTTTACAGCGCGTTTGGGCAGAATGTTTTCTGCCGTGAAAACGACATTTCCAGTGCTACTGGCTGTGGGTTTTATTGACAACTGAAGTGGATTCGAGAAATAAAGGTAAAGAAAAATAGTTACAAACAGAAATAAATATGTTATTATCAACAGGTAGAAAGGATGCCATTCCCTGCAGGAAATGGCTGCACGGTGCAGCTGAGCCAGCACAGATTTCCACAGCTTCCACTAGCAGCTTTGCAATAACACAAACAAGGGCACTAATGATCTAATAGCTGAGGAAAATAAACACTGTGTGCTTTCTTACATAGGCTGCTGCTGTAGCACTGAGGTATCACACGTCCGACAGAAGCTGGATGGTTGGACTAGGTGATCTCAGAGTCTTTTCCAGCTTAATGATTGGTCCCAGTGGAACACCACCCCCTCCCTGCCCTTTGCCTTAGTGCTCAGTAATCTCTTCTCTTTGTATTTGCTGTCTTAATGCATTTAAGCAATGAATTCGTAAAGTGACAAAGGCATCATGAGAACAGACTTACGGCTTAGTTTTAATGAGTGTCAGCATGGCAGGCCAGCCTCCTACTGGCACTTGGTTTCCCTGAGCACATCCATGGAAATGAGCACTTTGTCATCAGCCTGGCCCGTGTTCTAACGAAGACATCAGCGTGAGTACATCAGGTGTAGGGAGTTGCCTCCTCCCATCCACAGTGAAGCCTTTTCCCCTATTTTGCTAACAAATTAGATTAGTTGAGAGTAAAAATTTAATTACTGTCATGCGCCATCCCTCTATTTGTGATCAAAGGAGTGTGTCTCCATCAGCTTTGTAGTCCCTTTTTCTCCTGAAAAGGGAGAGAAGGAAGATCACCCAAGCTGAGCACCAGAACAGATTTATAATTATCCTTGC